GCGTAGGTTGGCAGGATCCAGGGAGACATTTATGGATGGTTTTATAGCTCCCAGATCGTACTTTTATTACTTCCCAAGAGCCATTCATAAGATGTGTTGCAATGAAGACACAAACCATATATAAATTTTCATCTGAAAGTAGAGTGTGTGTTGCCCTCTTGAGGTAAATTTGAGAACAGAAACAGAACAACTGGCTTTCTCTGGTCCATTACTCGAAGATCAATTCTTCTACAAAGGGCTTTTCTACAAAAACATCATGATCGGATCCGAAGCCAGCTAGTTGTAACGCAAAACCTTTTTTCTAATCAAATAACAGACACTCAAACTCCACTAGGCACTAGACGCCTCCATAAAAACAAAGGTGCAATTTCATAACAAGAATAAATCAAACTTTGGGCCTGATGCGATAGCATAGTGGTTAAAGTCCTCGCCTTGCACTTCCGGGATCCCATACAGGCGCCAGTTCTAATCCCGGCAGCCCCGCTTCCATCCAGCTGCCTGCTTGTGGCCTGGGAAAGCAGTCGAGGACGGCTCAAAACTTTGGGACCCTGCACCAGTGTGGGAGACCCAGAAGAGCTCCTGGCTCCTGACTTTGGACTGGCTCAGCTCCAGCCGTTGCAGCCACTTGGGGAAGTGAATCATCGGCCGGAAGATCTTCCTCTCTGTCTCTCCTCCTCTCTGTATATCTAACTTTCCAATAAAAATAAATAAATCTTTAAAAAAAAAAAGAATAAATCAAAATTCACTTTTCAATTGATGGAAATGTCAAAGTGTCTGCATGCATCCTAGAATTCATGCAGGTACTAGTTGGCATATTTCATCTAATTCAGATTCAGGAAGCCTATACAGAAGACAAGCTTGATGATAAACTTCTATGGGAAAGATGTGCTAAGTCCAAAATATTTATCATGCAATTCTATTTAATATGGAAGATCTTCAACACAAGAAGAGTTGCACTGAGAAAAGAGCACCTACGCATATAAACTGCGTACAAAAGCCTAATGGCTTTGATAGAAACTCTAATAGAAAATTGTCAGAACTGAATTTCCAGTAACCTTTAGTAATATTGCTGTCATACTGATGTCTGGGAGTTTTGAATTAATTAAGAGTTGTCTCCTCAAATCACCTTTTATCTAAGCTACAATTTGACTTTTCAGTATTAAGAGGAACAAGCTGGATTACATCATTATTCTCCTAAAGTTTGAAGACTTCAGCACTTTACTAAGCATGACTCATATTCACAAATGATCAAAGTTTTGAGTAAGCAGTAAAAATATGGTTGCTATCTCATCCTGCTATTAAAGCTCCTGAGGAGAGAGGTGATCACACATTGTTAAAAGTCTGGATTTATGAGCACAGAATTCACCTGTCATATCCCCTAAAGTCAATCAGAAAAGCAGGTTACTCTCTACACACATGTGACAGTTGTTGAATCCTTTGCATGGGGTCCTTGAGCTACTGTGATATTTATTTGTGAAAAGTCCCCTCATTTCTTTTCATTTTATATAAGTGTAAATGCTATAAAACAAATTTATGGGGCTGAAGGAAGTAGGGGAAACCAGAAAGATGCCTCATTCCTTGCGGCTGGTGCAATGGCTCAATTAGCTAATCTTGCACCTGCAAGCACCGGCATCCCTTATGAGTGTTGCTTGGTGTCCTGACTGCTCCACTTCCTGCTTGTGGCCTTCTGAAGGCAGCAGAGCATGGCTCAAGGCCTTGGGACCCTGCACTCATGTGGGAGACCCAAAGGAAGCTCCTGGTTCCCAGCTTCAGATCAGCTCAGCTCCAGCCTTTGTGGCCATTTAGGGAGTGAACTAGAGGATCAAAGATCTTACCATCTCTCCCTCTCACTGTAAATATGCCTTTCAAATAAAAATAAATTAATCTTCAAAAAAAATTTATACTCAAGTCTAAGAGGAAGTCCTACTAGGTCATCTGCTATCAATATCTGATCTACAGTTTGATCATGCACTCAAAATTCATTCACATACACAATTATTCCTACTATGTGTCAAGAATGGATTTAATTGCAGGGTAAAGAAAGACACCCCAGGTCCGAATTCTGATCTTCTTTTACTGCAAAAAAGGAGGGGGCAACTCTACAATTTAATGTCTTCCCATGCTATAACAAAAGAAGCCAGAGAAAAGCCTGAGGATGGAAAGGGGAAGGAAAGGAGACTGAATCTCTTCGAATATTTTCAAGTTGTTAAGGTGTACACACACAGTGCACAGGCACACTCAAAGACACTTCATTTCTCACTCTGAGCAAAATTTCTGGCATGATAGCCAAGTTCAGACACTGGAAGCAAAACTAACTAAAGTTTATAGTCCCACTCAACCAACCACTGCAAAACTGGGCAAGTAGTTGAATCAACCTGTCCCTTTGTTTCTTTGACAAGGATAATCTGAATACTTGACTCGGATGTGTATTTTAATAAGTAAACAAAACTCCCATGACAATGCTGGCCATGCTATTCTCCCTTCTTACCCCATTTCCCTTCTTCCTCAGCTCTTGTTAACGCCTATGATGACCACAGTTCTAGTGCTTATCTATACACACAGTCTATATTAGACAAACTCAGAAGCATTCAGGGGGTATGGTCACAGACAACATACAAGGTCACTTCAAAACTTCATGGGAAATGGAACTAAAAGATAAAAGTGTTTTTTGGAACAAAACATTTCTGTAATCCATACATGAGAGGTCTTCAAAAAATTCATGATAAAACTAAGCATTGAATACACACACATGCACCTATACATACAAACAATGGGACTAAATAATTCTAAGAATAATAATAATTAAAAATAATTTTAAGAATTGCTTTTTCGCTTAGGTTAACTTAAAGAGCTGAAATTTCTCCATCAAATAATCTCAACCACCTATACGGCTATAAACATTATCTATGAACGTCTAATCCCCAATTCTGCGCTGCTAGTCATGACCTGTATTTGTAGCCTACCTGACATCTCTACTTGTACATCACAGGCATTCAAACTTGATATACTCAAAGACTTAATTTTTTTTTTTTTGCCCATAAACCTCCCCTTCCCCTTGTCCTTTTCATCTCCATTTGTGACACTATCCTCTAGCCACATCCTAAAAACAAAATCTAGGGGTCACTGGTTAATTCCTTCTCTCTCTCTATTCTGAATCCAACCTCTTGTCCATCACACTGCCATCTTCATCCAAGCCAGGGAAGATACAGTCAGATGGTCTCCAATCTGGTGTCCCATATCACCTCTGGTACTTCTTATCCAATCACAAGAAAATAGCCAGAAAAATCTTGCCAATTTACTAGAACATGTGCTTACAACCATTCATCTATTTCTCACTGTGTGTCAAATAAAATTTCATTTTTTTAAAGCATAGTAAACCTGGTCATGATCTAGGGTCTGGCACAGTAGCCTACTGGCTAAAGTCCTTGCCTTGCACGCCCAGGATCCCATATGGGTGCTATTTCTAATCCAGGTGGCCCCGCTTCCCATCCAGCTCCCTGCTTGTGGCCTGGGAAGCAGTCAAGAACAGCCCAAAACCTTGGGACTCCTTGCTTCGGATCGGCTCAGCTCTGGCCATAGCAGCCACTTGGGGAGTGAATCATTGGATGGAAGATCTTCCTCTGTCTCTCCTTCCCTCTGTATATTGACTTTCCAAGAACAATAAATAAATGTTAAAACAAAACAAAAAAGAACTGGCCATGATCTAACACTTGATCACATTTCAAGATGTTCTTCCTGTTTACTGGGATCTCACAATAACAGCCTCCTCTCTCTTCTAGAATGCCTCAAATTTTTTCACTATTCCAGTGCTCTTCACTTACCCTTTTGGTTCTTAACCTGTTGTTCCTTGTCCTTTAGGTCTAAGTTTATGACATCAACATGCTTTATCTAGAGAAGCCCTCATTACTCTCTATCATGGCACCCAGTTCAATCACAGCACATATGTGCTTATAAGCTGATTAACAAGCAGAACACAAGCACCATGAGGGCAAGGACAACCACTGTCATGTACACCATGCTATTCCCAGCACCTGGAACAGGGCAAAGCGTAAGAGGCCCTCAAGAAATGTTTAGCAAAGAAAGGAACAGTGCAGAAGTAACTCACTAGTTGTCCTTGATATGCCTGAAAGCAAAAATTACTTGAAGATATTACCTCCTAAGTCACTGGACTACATATGAAAATTCAGTATGCTTCCTGCTAAAATTCATAATACCAAGTATCAAAAGAATGACTAACTCGCTTCTGTTTTATCAACTAAAATTCAAAAAGGAGAAATGGTTGTTACGATTTGAGTATCTGTCCCTTACATACCTCCTATGGAAATTCAATTGCTACTGTAACAATGTTAAGAGATGGGACCTCTGAGAGGTGACCAGGTCATGAGACCTCTGCTCTCATGGGTAGGATTAACACTCTTATTAAAAGGACGAATGAGTTAGTCCTCTTCCTTCCCTTCTGCCCCCGATGCCTTTTGGTACGTGATGGTGCAGGAAGATGATCCAGGTCAGACGCTAGCACCTTAATATTGGACTTGCCACCCTAAAGAATCATACCCAGTTTGAGAAATTCTGTTATAGGAATACAAAATAGACTAAGACCCCCCCACCTAAACAGAAATCATTTAATGGTGATTAGTAATTACAATCTAATAAACTAAAGTTTTAAACAGTGACTTATTTGATTTTTTAGCAGGTCAATGTTTCCAAGAATGAGTTTTGCTTTTGGTGGGCAAAAACCCAAATGGCCAACCAAAACTACCCCCGTAATTCCACCCGACCTGGTGCTGAGAAGTCAGCCACAGAACACACTTTGTGAATCTCTCCATATCAAAAGCCCATACTCACTTTAAAAAAAGAAAAAAGTTACTTCAAGGAAAAGTACATTTCAATAAAAAGCAGAGAATGCAAGATATAAAGATGTAGACACACAACAAAAGGAGTTTTCACAGGGGGCTTGCTAGCAGGCACACTTGGGAGAACATAAAATAAGGATTTCTTACTTGACTGCCTCATAAATATTGTTCGAAGTATGTCCTGATAAGGCATCATGCAAATTTCGAATAAAGTAATCTCTGTATTCTTCTGGAAGGGCCATAAACGTTCCACCCATCACAATAAACTCCACTTTATCCACACTGTGACCAAGTTGTTTTAACTGAAAGACACAGAAAGCCATCAGCATTAGCAGTACATGAGCAAATAGCTAAGAAGGCACTCTAAAACTTCTAGTTCTACTTTGCAGTGTTTTCATTAGTATAATTCAAAAATAAAAAGTAATCAAATGTATTTAGTTAATTATGGAGATTTAAAAAAACAACTCTAGAACAAAAAGACATTAACAGTTCAGGGTCCAGCACGGAGGCCTAGCGACTAAAGCCCTTGCCTTGCATGTGCAGCATCCCATGTGAGCGCTGGTTTGTATCCCAGCTGCCCCTCTTCCATCCAGCTCCCTGCCAGTGGCCTGGGAAAGCATTCGAGGATGGCTCAAAGCCTTGGGATCCCGCACCATTGTGGGAGATGCAGAAGAAGCTCCTGGCTTCAGATAGGCTCAGCTTTGGCCATTGTGGCCACTTGGGGAGTGAACCAGTGGATGGACCTTTATTTCTCCTTGTCTCTGTAAATCTGACTTTCCAAGAAAAATAGTCTTTTAAAAAAAAAAGAAAAAAAAGAAAGTTCAAATAAGGAGAGAATTTAAAATACTGACTCCAATATCTACAACTAAGTAGAAATTTAAAACACAAAGATTATAAAAGAAAGCAGTAAAGATAAATATAAAATAACACAATACACACATAATGCTAATCATACCTTTATGCTAAACCTTGCATTAACTCCTGGAAACAAAACAGATACACTTCTCTGCATCTAAGAGTATGTAGCATAACGAAGACTTAATGTAAGGTCAGAAAAGATTAGATGAGAAATGAAGGGGCTGGCTCCTTGGTACAGTGGCTTAAGTCTCCGCTAGTGGTGCCAGCATCCTACAAGGGCAACAACTTGTCTTCCAGCTGCTCTACTTCCCATCCAGCTTCCTGCTAATGTGCCTCGGAAACCAGTGAAACATAGCCCAAGTCCTTGGGCCCACATGGGAGACCAGGATAAGTTTCTGGCTTCTGGTTTTGCAGCAGCCCAGCTCAGGCCTTTGCAGCCATTTGGTGAGTGAATCCGTTGATGAAGGACCTCTCTGTCTTTTCTTCTCTCTCTGTAATTCTGCCTTCCAAATAACAGATAAATAAATAAATCTTTAAAAAATTAAAAAGAAGGAAATCAAGAAGGTACAGGTGATACCTTAAGCCTGCTTTGTAGAAGAAAAAGTGATAAATGATAGAAACGAAAGATATCTTCTCTATTAAGGGACAGTGTAGTACAAACCTTTCATCAACTACAATAAAGGAAAACAAGTTTTTTTAGAAAAAGTTATTTAGCAGGGGTTGGAACCACAACTAAGTAGATTAAACCTCTGCCTGTAGTGCCGGCACCAGTTTGTGTCCCAGCTGCTCCACTTCCCACCCAGCTCCCTGTTTGTGGCCTGAGAAAGCAGCAGAGAACGGCCCAAAGATTTGGGACCCTGCACCCAGGCAGGAGACCAAGAAGCTCCTTGCTTTAGACTGGCTCAGCTCTGACTGTGGCAGCCATTTGGAGAGTGTTGAAGCAGATGGAAGACCTTTCTGTCTCTCCTTTCTGTAAATCTGACATTCCAATAAAAATAAATAAATCTTAAAAGGGGGGGGGGGATGTGTTTAAATTTTTGTCACTACCTTATCTTCACCTCAGATAAGTTTTTGTGGGGATTTCCCCAACTGAACTGCTGGACTCAGAACTCCAACCATGGGGGAGAATTGCAGGTTCCATGGTCTGATCATGGAGTGCATGTAACAGGAGCTGGGCCTCCTCAGTGGCTTAGATGGAGCAGTGGACAGCATATCTAGGTGCACATGGAGGATATGGCAGTTCATTGGAGCCTGCAGAGGACACCTGGTACCATAACAGGATGGAGGACCGAACAAATTGATGAGCTACCCTAGCCAAGCACTGGCAGTGAATATCTGGACAAATGGAGACTAAGGTGGATTATGTCAGCCAGTGGATTCTGGAGAGATTTCACTGTACTTGGAGCGGCAAGACCAATAGCAGTTCAGAACCACTGAACCATCAAAACCACCTGAGTGGGACCCTCGTAGCATACCCCATGTCGGGAACCCTGGGATGGCATTGGTGACCATCCCCATTCCAGGGTACAGAGGCATTTGGGAGGCTAGGGGTAGCTTCTCCTCTTATCTTCCCCCTTCCCCTAGATGCAGGAAGGAAAAAAGAGAATGTAGAAACAAGGATCTTACTCACTTTCCTCTAGCTCTTGACCCTTTGCACCCTAAAGAACTATATAAATTTTTTTTAAAAGAAACAAATCCTTTCTCTAAAAACAAACAAGCAGAAAGAAAAAAAAAGAAATTGAAGCAAACCTTATCTTAGAACAAACTTGTCCAAATTCTGCAGGCTTTCTTGGGCTTTCTTACTACAGACAATCCAGTTTGTTCTATTTACTCGTGGATGACAGAAAAGTGAATGTTATAACCAAATGTCACCTACCCAAAGTGAAATAAGCTCAGAAGCAGCTCAGACGAGACTTGGGTACACATTACTTTTTTATTTAAATTTCTTATTTTCCCTGCTGTAACTGCAAAAACTATAGATGTGCTTACATTTTTAAAGTTGGGCAAGTTTAAAATAAACTTGTGAACTATGAAACCTGTAATAATGTTCATATTTTTTTGAACAGTGTAAGGTCATTTATACCATATATTTTCATTTTTGCAATTAATAGAATCATAAAATATTTTAAAATTTTCCACTTCGTTTTTTCATTCTTCTTTGAAGGAGAGACACAGAGCCAGAGATCTGCTGACTTATTTCCCAAACGTCAGCAAGAGTTGGGGCTTGATCAGGTCAGGGACAGGAGTCTGGAACCCAAATGCTTGAGCCCTCGCCTGCTGCTTGCAGTCTATCAGCATAAAGCTGGATCAGAAACCAGGAGTACAGGTCAGAATATGGCCATCCCAAGTAGCAGTCTAACCACTGTGCCTAACACCTATCCCCACAGTGCTTGGTTTTCATTCATTGAATTGTGATTTAACATATGCAAAGATACTTTAAACAGCTTGTGGAAGATGAAATCCAAATATAAATCTATTTTGGTATAAAAGCAATTCTGAAATTCATGCATAGTTTTAGTATGCATTTTCCATGAAGTCTTTGATTTCAAAATTTTGTGATTTCAAGATGTTTTTGTATCAAAATAAACTCATTTTAATTTCACTTTCCATGAACTTTTAAATGTTTTTTATATGCGACAAAATCTTCTGAGTACATAATAGATGACCTCTGAAAAGTGCTGTTTCATAACCACCCCCCATGATACACAGAATAATTCCATAACCCCAGAAGTTCCTTGAACCCCTTTTGTAATTAATTCCATACTCCTACTCGAGCAAACCAGTTCCAGTGCTTTATGATCTGACTCACAGAACCCAAAATTCAACTCATCCACCTATTTTCTCAGAACATTCACTCATTTTTATTCCATACATTTCCTAACTAAATGACTTTTCTACAAATTGGAAGAAATGTAGAGACTATAAAACTCCAATATAAAATAATTCATATTCTTCAAACAAAGTAGCCTTCTGACTATGCTAAGCATTGCAAAACGGTCTCCTTTTCTAAGATGGATATTAAACCCTTACAAAGGGAAAACCTTTTTAGCTGTTGTTTCAGATTTAAATCAAATTAAGCAATAAAATGTTCTTATTAGAGAATCCCATTTTTAAGAACTTACCTGTTCTAGTCGGTGTCTTGTCTGTAGGTATGGATCATATCTAGCACGGATGGCTCGCATGGAGGTTGGCTACAGAAAAAAATATATATATTGTCATGCCCATATCAGATTAAAAATAAAGTCATTGCAGAAGAATTTTGCTAAAAACAAAATTCTTTATAATCTTTTTTCTTTTAGTCGTAACAAGGTTCAAAGTAGCACCCTGAAAAACATCTGGTTGCTCTGCTCGTCCACGGGTATTAGCAGCTCCACAGCAAGGTATCTCCTGAAATCAGATTTCTCTTTTCTATGAACACCTGCTGGAATCCAAACAGGTACCATCTGCAGACACAGAGATTTCCAACCAGAACAGTCTGTAATGACTTGCTTAGTGTCTGGCGCTGTTGTCACACGATGGAATACGGCTATCAAACAGTGCACTGATACACGGTGCGCTCGAAGATATTTTGCTAAATGAAAATGCTAAGGTGCAAAAATATTTTGCTATGTAATCTCATATGTAAAAAAGTGGGATGAAAAATACGTACCTGTTTGTATATTTCTGAAATATTTTGAAAAATGTAGAGGAAACAGGTAAAACTAATCACCCTAAGGGAGAGGGCAGAAAAAATGAGGGAGACCTCTTTCCATAGAATAATTCCTTCTGTATGAAAACGGGGAAAATGAAGACCACATGGAAGAAAGGCCACTTGATCTTCTGCCTCCTAGCCCTTCTGAAGAGATGACTGACTCCTTCAAAAGCTGTTCACTAGTGTGTTGCTTTCACTCTTGACCCCACTCAACAGCCAACAAAACTATCTTTTAAACTATCTTTCCTGTGCTTTAAGCCCTAAGTTTTTCATGGCACCTGCAATAAACCCCCTGGTTTACAAACCTCTGTATCACCTGCCATCTGCAACCTCACATTCCAGAACCCCCGGGGCCGGGCCTCTGGGTTAGCTATTCCACCTGCTGCTGTTGTAGACTGAAATGCACATGGTTTAACCCTCTGTTAACAACAGCTGGAGAGTAACAGACCTGATAGAACTAGAGCACCTGAGGGTTGGGCCAAGCAGAAGGTCTAGGTGATCCTCAGAAGGTGGTTCTCAAGCTTAAGCTTGTGCATGCCTCAAGCTCGCCATGTGGTCAACCCTATACCAGCCTCTAGCCTCTCTGGATGCCTGAGCCCAGCCTTGGACTGATGACCCCTAAAACTCATGAACTGAGGTAAGCCGCCTTCTCAGGCTCATTCTCTCAGGTGTTTTAATAACAAAAAAACAGACCAATGCACTGGGAGTGCTCTTCCCTGATATTCCTGTCATTCAGGATTCAAATATCTTTCAAAGATTTCCTTCCCAACCACTAGAGCTAATTATTAGCAAATTAATCCATTTTATATTTTGCTTAATATCTACTAGTATCTCATTTTTTGTTTGCTTTGTTGTCCTTCTTCCATGTTAAAATATAATTCCTACTAAGACAAGGAATCCTGTATTTTTACTGCTAAAGATGTAGTAACAATGCATCAAAACCCAGGTCTGTATCTGATGAAGGATTAATATCCAGTATATACCACCAACCCACTCAACAACAAAAAAAATCCAGCTAAGTAGACAAAGGACCTGAATACACACTTCTCAAAGGACAACAACTGGGTATCAAATACATGAAAGGCTCAACAACACTAACCATCAGGAAAATGCAAATCAAAACACTCTTTATCATGTTACTCCTAGAAGAATGGCTAACACTCAAAAAGCAGAGAGCAAAAATGCTGGTGAGGATGAGGAGAAGCGCAACTTCTACACTGTTGGTGGGTATGTAAATTAGTGCAGCCACTGTGGGAAACAGCATGGATATATCTTAAAATCTAGATAGACTTCCTGTAAGAGCCAGCAATCCCACTAAAAGGTTATTTACCCAAAACACAGGAAGTCATTGGATCAGACACCCGCTCTACCACATTCATTGTACTGTTCACAACAGTTGAAAATGAAATCAACCAAAGTGTCTATCACTAGACGAACAGATGAAAAAGGAATAAATTCTATTATCTGCAATAAAATGACTGGAAATGCAGGACATCACATTGAGTAAAATTAGTCAGATACAGAAGGACAAACACCACATACTGTCCCTTTTAAGTGTGGGCTAAAATTTGAAAAGAAGGAAGGAATCCCTAAGTGTATTGTTTTTGTTGGAAATGCCTAATTGTTCAAACTTTGTTTTAAATCTTAATTATTTTTAAATTAATTTTCAGTGACGTAAAGCATTTTTTCCTTTGATTACCGTGTGCAGCCCTGGCCTGTTTTCTTGCTGGGCTGTCATCTTTTTCCTTTTTATGTACCTAGCTCTTTACTTAGTAGAACCAAAAAGCTTTTGACTGTAATGCAAATTCAAACTGTGTTGTTATCTCAAGAAAATAATGTTTAAAAAACTATGTCTCTTGCTTTCTAGCAGTGTGTTTTTGCATGCTAATTGTGTAAATCTGTGCTTCATTTGCCTCAGGTGTAAAGTGGGGCGATAAGAATGTCTATCTTCAAAATACTGTCATAAGGTTTAACGCTGCAAAGCACTTACAGAAGAAGTGTTTAGGCTATACAAATAACATACATTTGCCTAGGCATTCTTCAGTGATCAGAACACTTGGCACTAGTAGACAATGAATACATCTACTGCATTAACAATTTTTTTTAAAAAAATTTAAACTGAGCAGTTTATAGTATTCAAGCAAGATTTTGCAGAACTTTGTGCATTCAAGGGCAACCAAAAGTTGTAATTTTAACAAGCCATATACTGACAATTGAAGAGTAGAACATTTTTAGGCGAGTGAGCACAGAAATCCCCAATAACTTAATAAGTGAGGAACAACTGAACTCCACATCCTACCTAGTGAGGACTAGGAAAAGCCAAATCGGGAGCCTGACCAGCGGGGTACAGGCTGAGCAATTACAGGCCAGCTGGCTTCTTCCTGTGTGTTCAAAACTTTCTATACTAGTCTCTGTCTATCTAAGCTAATTTGGGGCTCCTGAGCAACTCTGATGGTCAGTGCAAGAGATAATGGGGAGCCAGAGCTGGAAATAAGTAAGGACCAGAGAAAGCTCCTCTCCTGAGTCTTCAAGGAAATTTATAATTCTTTTATCTCGGAGGACCACCCAGGGCTCAGAGAAAAAAAAAAGTCTTAATGTTTAGAAAGCCAGTACTTGCAAAACCACTCTGAGTGAAGCATCATTTGCGGCAGGACTTACCTCATAGCCAGTGTATGACTGAGTGGAATATTCAAAATCGGAGTCAGGTCCACCAGGGCAGTATCTGCCAACACAGCCAAAAACCAGGAAAACCTAGCTCAGCAACTTAGTTCAAGTACTCACAGTTCCCCAAAATCCTAACAAGTAAGCTTCATTTTCAAATTTTATCTGTAAAGCAATACTTTTTCTACTGAAAAGCAAGTGAGATAAATATTAATGGAACAAAATGACACTCTTTTTTCCAAAGACTATAGTCACTGCCACTTTGGAGATTTGAGTTTGTGGGGACTAAGGGCAGCTGAAGTTTTCCTAAGTTTGGGTCCACACTCAGTGTTCTCTGCTAACCACACTCAGAAAACCCTTCCTCTCACTCCACCTTCCCACCTACGATCACAGTACGTTTCTGGTCATTCTTCCCAATACCTGAAGTCTAAAGCTCCAACAGCTGTTTCTAAGGATAACTTTATTCTCTTCTGAATCCATGTTAAATTTCTGACATTTGGAATTCTGGCAGCTCATGTTTCACATATCAAGTCATCCACACACTTTTGCATTGCTTATTGTAACAAATTAAAATCTTTCTAGTGGGGGCCAGTGTTGGGGTACAGCACGTAAAGCTGCCGCCTGTGAAGCCAGCATCTTGACCCAGCGCGAAATTGATCTGTAACTCTACTTTTCAGATAAACACATAAGCCTTTTTAGAAAAGTCTTTATATATTTCATTTTTAAAGCACTATGTATACCATCAGTGATTGCTTGTGTCAGAGAACTATAATCTATTAAATCAAACTTTTAAATACCAACAGCTTGTACTGACCAAGGGTTCTAGAGCACTTATTTCAATCAAAATATACATGCACAATAAAAATCATCATACTTACACACAGATATTTCCTGTAAAACTGATGTGTGGGCATCTGTGGGGTTTACACATCACAGCCACAACAGCAATCTACACAAAGAAAGATAAATCAAAATTGATGCAAAAAATGAATACAAAATTCTGAACTGTGGCTATCTAACAGAAAGAAGGAAAGCAATGCGATCTGCGGGGCACTCAGGGGTTTAGAAGACCTTGGTAGTGCTGTGTTTCTTTAGCTTGCTATAAGAGTTGGCACATTTCCACATCAACCATCTTTTTTTAAAAAAGACTGTTTATTTTTATTGGAAAGGCAGATATACAGGGAGGAGAAAAGACAGAGAGGAAGATATTCCGCCCAATGCTTCCCTCCCCAAGCGGCCACAACAGCCAGAGCTGAGCTAATCTGAAGCCAAGAGCCAGGAGCTTCTTTCGTGCCTCCCACACGGGTGCAGGGTCCCAAGGCTTCGGGCTATACTCCACTGCTTTCCCAGGCCACAGGCAGGGAGCTGGGTGGGAAGCGGGGCAGCCGAGATTAGAACTGGCATCCATATAGATCCTGGTGCGTTCAAGGTGAGGACTTTAGCTGCTAGGCTATCGCACCGAGCCCAACATTAACCATCTTTAAATTGTGCACCATAATTTTACATATCAGCTTATACTATTTAGAGTAAATTAAGTATAAAACGAGAAAACCACGAATAGCTAGAACCATCCTGAAAAATAAGAAGTTAGCAGGGGGAATCACAATCCCGGACCTCTGGACATACTATAGAGCAGTGGTTATCAAAACAGCCTGGTACTGGCACAAAGACAGAAAGGAAGATCAATGGAATAGAATAGAAGCACCAAAAGGGAACCCACACAAATACAGCCAATTAATCTTTGACAAAAAGACCAATGACAACTCAAGCAAGTGGGAAGGCCTCTTTAGTAAATGTTGTTGGGACAACTGGCTGATAGCCTGTAGAAACAAAAAGATAGACCCACATCTATCACCATACACCAAGATCCAATCTACATGGATAAAAGACCTAAACCTACATCCAGAAACCTTCAAACTCTTGCAAGAAAATGTAGGAAATACCCTGCAAGACCTAGGAGTAGGTTCCGACTTTCTAAGAAGGACACCAAAAGCAATAGCAGTTGAGAACAGAATAAACAAATGGGACCTCATCAAACTAAGAAGCTTCTGTACAGCAAGGGAAACAATCAACAAAGTAAAAAAGCAACCCACAGAGTGGGAGAAGATCTTTGCACACGATATAGGCGATAGGGGGCTAATTTCCAGGATATACAAAGAATTTCAAAACAGCCAAAAAACCAAAACGAACAAGCCACTCAAGAAATGGGCACGGGAAATGGGCAAACATTTCACAAAGGAACAAGTCCAAATGGCAAACAAACATATGAAAAAATGTTCCAGCTCCCTAGCAATAAGGGAAATCCAAATTAAAACATCGATGAGGTACCACCTAACACCAGCAAGATTGGCCCACATAAACAAGAACACCAACGACGCTTGCTGGCGAGGATGCGGGGAAAAGGGAACCCTACTCCACTGCTGGTGGAGCTGCAAATTGGTACAGCCTCTATGGAAATCAGTCTGGAGAACACTCAAACAACTCAAAATCTGCATACCATATGACCCAGCAATAGCACTCCTAGGAATATATCCAAAACACCTGTTTTACGACAAACCAACATGCATCCCTATGTTCATCGCAGCACAATCAGTAATTGCAAAAACATGGAAGCAACCGAAATGCCCATCAGCAGAAGATTGGATAAGAAAGCTTTGGTTCATCTACTCCATGGAATACTACTCAGCTATTCAAAAAAACAAAATGCAGTTCTTTGTGGCTAAATGGGCACAACTGGAAACTATAATGCTAAGGGAAATGAGTGAATCCCAAAAGATTAGATACCACATGTTTGCCTTGATTTAACCTGTAATTTTTGTATGGTTGTTTGTTATTTTTTGAACCTGTCATTGATACTGTCTCAACCCAGATGTTTCGAAGAATGAAACTTGCATTATTTTTAACATATTGTTTACCCAATACTATGTCAATTAATTCCATAATGTTCCAATATATTGATACTGAGGCCTTGTTGGGGCTTTTAACTGACCGGATCTTTACTCTGTTAGACCTATCTTCAGACCATAGAAGGTCTCCCCAAGAGGCCACTGAACTTATCTGGACAATAAGACACTGAATTTTATGCTAGGCATGTGTTTGCAAGCAATGAATCTCAACTGAACTTGAACTATGGTTATGCAACAAGGTGGAGGAATCCACCATGGGGGGAGGGGTATGGGAGGGGTGGGGGGAATCCCCAGCGCCTATAAAACTGTACTACATAATACAATGTAAGCAACAATAAAAAATAAATAAATAAATAAATAAATAAAAATAAAAAAAAAATAAAGTTATTCTGTTTTTCTCTATCAAAACCGGCTACAAAGAAAAAATTACATAATTCTATAAAATGAAACCTAACTTTGCTATTCTAACTCCTCATAGACTATGGCATCTGAATGTTTAGAGGAAGGACTATTAAACAGGGGTAAAACTGAATCTGTGTACAAAACATTCTCAGAAGTATGTGCGAGTTCACATTAGGTGAGAAAGGCAGCTGCTTTAGAAGGCAGCTGCTGGTGGAAATATGACTGATGATACCAAAGGCAGTGGGGCAAGCAAGGTTTCTTGCTGGCAGAGAAAGAACCACGAGTCAAAAATAAATAAATAAATAATGAGAAGAAGAATTTGCAAATACATGAAGTAGGAGGAGGAACTGTGAAGGTATTGTGAACTCACAGAAACACAGATGGAAGTGTGCTATGTACGTAAGTGTGCACATTTCTACAGGGACATGGTATCACTACACAATTCTGTTATTTTTGCCAAAGATGAATCAATCCTGCTATGAAGAAACACTTCATAAAAACAAATTCAGGGATATGCTACAAAATGGCTAGCCCAAAATCTTCGCGTATCAAGACCATGAACTCAAGGAAAGAGAGGAAGTATCCAAAACAGACAGTACAACTAAACACAGCACATGATTCTGAACTCAGTCCTAACGAACACTGTTTAAACAGCTGATGAAACTCAAATGAAGTTTACAGATGACAGTAACGTATCAGTGATATGGTTTTGATGGCTAGATTGTAGTGATGTAAGAAAATGTTCTTATTCCTGCAAGATATCCTAACATTTAAAGACATAGGTTTTCCATCTATTCTCCACTGGTTTAAAAGTTCTTTGCACTGGGGCTGCTGCTACGGTGTATCCGGTTAAGCTTCTCCCTACAGTGCCAGCATCCTATGCGGACACAGGTTTGAGTCCTGGCTGCTCCACACACAATCCAGTTCCCTAGTGGGAAAACAACGGCGGCTAGCTTGAGGATTTGGACTATCCCCAGAAGAAGCTACTGGCTTCCACTTTGAACCAGTCCAAGTCTGGCTGTTGTAGGCATTTGGGGAATGAACCAGAGGGTGCAGGATGCTCTCTGTGTATCTCTCCTTCACTCTCTGTAACTCTTTCAAACAAAAATAGTAATTTTTAATAAAGTTTCATGCTTCAAAATTCCTGTAATTTTGTGATTATCTTTCATAATAAAAGTTAAAATTTAGTTTAAATCATTAAGCAATAATAAACAGAAACCCTAGAACGGTAACTTCGTAAATCTCAAAAATAAATTTAAAACTTAGATTTTTCATACAAACATTTTTATTTAAGATGAAACGATCACCTAAACTACTAATGAGGTCAACTTAAGTCAACAATCTTTGCAGAGGGCCTACCACACGCACCGTGCTCTGTGCTTCCCAGAGCTTGGTGTAAGCAAAGACTATAAGAACAGCCCATCCCTGCTCTGCAATCACACTACCTACCCAGCAGAGGAGGAAAACATGATTTTTTTCAAAACAAAATGCTAAGAAACTTACATAAAGCATTAGGACAATCCACAAACAATGCACAGCCCTGGCAAGGAGAATGGGAGCCACCACCCAGACTCAGCGCACTCAGATATACAGGCAGGAGGCAACATGCAGCAGTTTTCAAACAATTTTTAAGTAACACAGTTCTACTTTTCAAACATTTCACTTAGAACTTCAGTGTATTAAAGCAGCAAAAGCAACCGGCCTACAAGAAAGAGAAAAAGGAGCCTCTTCCCATGGTTTCCCTACTAGTTCCCATTCACAAAATTTCCAAGAACACTGCAATTTAAAAAGAGTGACTTGGGGCTAGCATATGGGCATCCCATATGGGCACCAGTTCCTATCACAGCTGCTCCACTTCCCACTCATTTCCGCTTACAGAGGATAGCCCAAGGCCTTGGGACCATACACCAGTGTGGAAGACCCAGAGGAGGCTCCTGGCTTCAGATCAGATCAGCTCTGGGTGTTGCAGTCATTTAGAGAGTATACCAGCAGATGGAAAACTCCTTGTGTCTCTCCTTCCCTCTATAAAATATGCCTTTTTAATAAAAATAAATAAATCTTAAAAGCAATAACTTTGAAGCCAGCACAGTGGATTAACAGGAGGATCCTCCACCCTGTGGCACTGGCATTCCATATGGGCATCAGTTGGTGTCATGTCTGCTCTACTCTCAATCCAGCTCTTTGATACAGCCTGGGAAAGCAGTGTAAGATGATGGCTCAAGTCCTTAGGACCTTGCACCCATGTGAAGAATCAGCAGAGGCTCCTGGCACCCAGCTTCAGATTGGCTCAGCTCTGGCTGCTATGGCCATTTGGAGAGTGAATCAGTGGATGGGAGATCTCCATTTCTCTATTTCTCAGGTCTCTGTAAAATCTGCCTTTCAAATAAAAATGAATCTTAAAAAAAAAAAGAAAAAAAAAGGCAGTGACTCTGGAATCAACATGGAAGACCTGAATTTGAATCTTTTCTCTGTTCCTTATCATGTGTTTTTCATTGTTACATTTTGTATTTTTGATTATCTTTTATTTGTTTTTTAAAGTTTCAAACTGCATGCTTCAGTTAATAACAAAGTAGCAATTGTAACAAATGTGCCAAAGCGATGCAAGAACAAACCATGGGCAGACTGAAGTACCGAGAGAGGCAAACCTACACTGTGTGCTTTCTGCTCAATTTTCCCAAACATCTAAGACTGTTCCACACAAAACCAAACCACCAACAGACTACCAGGAAGAATAAACACATGGAGACAGCAAAGCTGGTCGAATGGAAGTGACAATCATTTGTGTGTTTCTGACACTTCTGATAGAACACTCTGATGACACTATTGAAGACGGATTTACTGTGGATAAAACAAAATCCAGCTGTTACAAAATGACTCAAACAATCTAAACCAGAAGCAATAAAGGCCAACCATTCCTACCACTGCCGATAGGAACAGACACAGTACTTCACAGTGGAAAACTGAGTGAGGGCCAGCACCATGAACTCTGATGGTGACAGTGCACTTCAGAGTGGAAGGCAGCCGGAGAGCAGATGTGAGACAGGCAACCTGAGTCTGAAGGTTGGGAAGAGGTCAGAGAGAAGAATCAACTTAGAGCAATACTCAGAAGCGTTACACGGTGAGACTGCCAAACACAGCGGGTGCAGGACCACAAACAGCAGCAGCAACTTTTACAAGCTTCTCCGTGGTTAACTCTATGACCTCATGCCCTGCTGCTCTCCCAAATGAACTAGCAACCTGCCAGTCAGCTGTCTGCACTGCTCCTCCTCCACAGCGCACCTTGTGCATCATTTCCACCTCTGCCCCTGAGCTCCCTGTGCCCTCACTCCCACTACCGTACAGGACTGCTCTTCACTTACCTGAGCACCGCCTACCAGTGAAGTGGGCACCAGGCTTCCTACTGTGTGCTGGCTGCCTCATCCCTGTGTCTGCAGGGGCCTCATACCCACAGTGCTCCTGCTATCACTCACTTCACAGCTGCTGTATATACAGCTAACTTGCAATATTAAATGTCTGTTAAAAGTACTTTTTATAATTTATCAGTTATATTGAAAGCAATCAGCTTACACCACATACCAACATTTATCATCTGCGGATGTCACCCAGCCTCAGTCTACACTTTCACTGACTTCACAGCCTCCTGCACTTTTCTGGGCAGTTTCCCCCTCTGCCCTCCAGTGCTCTACTGTGGCGGATGGATGTTAGGACTCCGAAGCCCCTGTAATACCTCACCTGCTGGCTGTTACAGACAGGGATTCCTGGCAAGCAGACACCTACTGTATCAGTTTCTCCCGAGTTGGATCACTCACCCCACTGGCAGTTCTAATGGGTTTTGCCTTCAACTTGGGGACCAGGATTTTTCGGTACTGAGGAGGGACCGCAGCAATGATGTCCACCAGGCGGGGCTGTGCTGAAAGGCCATGTTTGGCAGCTGTCTTGGTTTTCACCCTGAAATGAAGACATCTAGCATTATCAAGCTCATAATGATAACATGTCCAGCAAGGCTCTCATAAGGGTGCCCGATAACAACGCTAACTCCAGTCACTCCCCACCCCTTCACCAGGTGACGTTAGTGGCTTTAAGATCTGCAAATATCAGACAAACAGAAGAAAATTCACCAACAGAAGACTTTTTCTACCCACAGGCTCCAAACAGGAAAGCAGAGAACTACCAAGGAGGGCCCAGGGTCAGAACTGGGCACAATCCAATCTCCAACCCCGAGGAAGTAACCTTTATTCTTTTGCATTGCTCTAGAATTGACCACCTTTCCTGTTCTTTGTGGCTGCTGGTTCAGGTTGGCCCTGCCCTGGTCATTGTGGCTGTTTGGGCAGTAGACCAGTGCATGAAAGATCTTTCTCTGTCCCTCCTTCTTTCTGTAACTCTGCCTTTCAAATAAGTAAATTAATCTTTGAAAAAAAAAAAGGAAAAAATAAGTAGTATTGGGTACGTTCATAAACACGACCTGCGAGCTAAGAACGAGATTGTGGGCTGCACACAGATGCACTTACTTATTCAGATCAATGTCTTTTCCCTGTTCGTGGGCTTCAATCAGTTGTTTAATCACATCTCCTATCGTCAGCATCATCAGCTCAGCAGTGCTGAGCTCACCTGCAAAAAGAATATTCAACAAGTTTAGAATCACATTACTCAGTGAAGACTAAAAATCTTTAGTAAGAATTTTCCTTCCAAAATCATTATACATATGCCAAATCAGTAGCCAAAGTTCTTAAGACACACCTATGTTGTTTATAATTTGATCTCCTTTGTACTTTTATTTAAAGCAGACCTCACTACACACAGGAAAGGCTCCCTTCAGGAGCACAGATACAACAAGAATAAAACAGAAACAGGAAAAGATTTAGGAAAGTTTAGTAGATATAAACATAAGGGGAAAGAACCTAACTGCACAGGAAAGGTCCAAAGTGTCAAAGAACGCCCCTCCATCCATGGGTTTCTAGTTACAGGTGAAGCATCCCAAATGTGAACTGGAAAATGCTCCCAAACCTGAGACAGCTTTGAGCACTGACACGATGCTGGAACAATTTTACAATTTGGAGCACTCTGGGTTCCAGATTTTCTCATTGGGGATGTTCAAACAGAGAAGCAAGTACTCCAAAAATTAGAGAAACTTGAAAGTCTGAAGCATTTCTGGTGCGGATAAGAGACGCTTAGCCTCTATTAACACTTGCATCATATTTCAGGGTTAGCAACATTTAGGGACAGGAACTGACCATCAGAGCAGAGTGAACCCACAGCCCAGGAATGGCTGCTTATCCCATAAAGACCCACCATGGGATGAAGCTCAGCCCCTGCACTGCAGGCTCAGCACAGAAAAGAAACAAGGGCTCTACACTTGTAGGGACCTTAATATTCACATTTCTTTTATTTTACATTTATTTATTTTTACTGGAAAGTCAGATATACAGAGAGAGGAGAAGAGAGGAAGAACTTCCGTCTGCAGGTTCACTCCCGAAGTGACCACAATGGCAGGAGCTGAGCCAAACCGAAGCAAAGAACTTCCTCCGGGTCTCCCACAGGGGTGCATGGTCCCAAAAACTTGGGCTGTCCTCAACTGCTTTCCCAGGCCACAAGCAGCGAGCAAGATGGGAAGTGGAGGAGCTAGGACACAACCGGCGTACATACAGGATCCTGGCACACACAATACATGGACTTTAGCCACTAGGCTACCACTCTGGGCCCGATAGACATATTTCTAAAGATACTGTCTGCCTACCATGGTAAGTGGGACTTGCCCCCTTGTCATCCACAGGCACCAGGAGACGAGATGCTCTTACTACAACCCAGCCCCTCAATCACACGTGATCAGTTCAAAAATGGACACTTATCCCACTCAGGCAATCTGAGCTTCTCCTCAGAGCAACCAATGCCAGTCTTTTTCCAGACGACAAAAGCTGTGGCCCAGCAGCCAGCGGCTTTCTGCCAGTACTGAAGACTGATGTGTAAAGACAGCCGGAACACTCTGATCTCTGGAGAGCGGATTCACTCACTTGTCTCACTGGAAACCTTGTGCTAGTACTGTAAGGAAGGTATATGGCTGCTCCATTTCACAGATGTAAATAATGGGGCTCAGGCAAGTTAAACACCAGTGTCAATGGCATCATTAAGATTCAAACCCAGGTCTTTTCATGGAAACTTCCTTCCGTTTTCACTGAGCCATGCTGTCCCTAATGGCAGAAGACTAATACACACAAAACAATGCGAGAGAAGTCTACCAAAATAAAAGAAGTGCTACAAAATCATATCAATCAGGGCCCGGTGTGGTAGCCTAGAGGCTAAAGTCCTCACCTCCTCACATGCCAGGATCCCAAATGAGTGCTGGTTCTAATTCCGGCAGCCCTGATTCCCATCCAGCTCCCTGCCTGTGGCCTGGGAAAGCAACGGACGACGACCCAACACCTGCAATGTCAGTATCCCACCTGGGCTCCCATTCGTGTCTCAGCTGCTCCACTTCCAATCCAGCTCCCCACACGTGGCTTGCAAAACGCAGCTGAAGATGGCCCAAGCACCTGGGTCTCTGACACCCACGGGCAGATGCAGATGAAGCCCCCAGCTTTGGCCTGGTTCAGCCTTGAGTCTTGGGAACACTCGGGGGGGTGAACCAGGAGAGAAAGATCTCTTTCTGTGCCCGGCACAATAGCCTAGTGGCTGAAGTCCTCACCTTGCATCCCCTGGGATTGCATATGGGTGCTGGTTCTGTCCAGACTGCTCTACTTCCCATCCTACTCCATGCTTGTGGCCTGGGAAAGCAGTTGAGGATGGTCCAAAACCTTGGGACCCTGCACCCACGTGAGAGACCTGGAAGAGGTTCTTGGCTCCTGGCTTCAGACCTGTGCAGCTCTGGCCGTTGCAGCCAGTTGAGGAGTGAACCAGCAGACGGGAGGTCTTTCTCTCTGTCTCTCCTCTCTGTAAATCTGGCATTCCATTAAAAATAAAAAGAATATTTAAAGAAATCTCTGTTCCTGTGTCTCTTGTCCCTGTCTGTAACATTTTCAAGTAAATAAATCCTTTCAGAAAGAGAACACCAAAAGAATGAAATTAGCAGTGACATATAATCCGAGTGCCAGAAAAAAAGCTTTTGAAGCAACATAATTAATATCCATAATTAAAACAACAACAACAATAATAAATGTAACCTGACAGCTTTGTTCCCAATTCCTACTGACTGTGTTACAGCCAAGATCTATGACTTCTCATGAGCCCATTTCATGTCCGTAACATTGGGATCCTACACACAAACCCAAGACCATTTTAAGAAATAAATGAAACAATGCGCCAAAGCCAAATTACCACGGGGATACCAGTTGTTCATACAAGCAGATGAAAAGGGCAGCAACTGGGATAAAGTGCAAGCAGCGATGCAACAGGTGATTTCCTTTTTCTTTTTCCAAGATGGTCCATCTGATGATTCACTCCCCAAGTGGGCGCAATGACCAGAACTGCGCTGGTCCAAAGCCTGGAGCCCCTTCCATGTCTCCCAAGCAGGTGCAGGATCTCAAGGCTTTGGGTCATCCGCGACTGCTTTCCCAGGGCACAAGCAGGGAGCTGGATGGGAACCAGGACCCACATGGGATACTGGCGCGTGCAAGGCGAGGACTTGAGCCGCTAGGCCACGGCGTCAGGCCCCTAACAGGTAATTTCTAAGTCAACGCTCAGAGGCCCAAAGAGTAAAACCGTTCTCTCTGGTCAAAGTGAGAGAAAAACACACGTGGGACCCGTGGAGTTGGATGCGCGGGAGGCAGTCAACTGAAAGCACCTGAGTTAGAGTCCCAGCCCTCCGAAGACACGGCTACTTTCCGAGGGGCGCTTCCTGGCTGCCCAGCACCTCCCCACCTCCTAGGAAGCAGCCTGAATTCGGAAAGTTACTTATACGGAGCAAGGAATTCACAATCCCTAGCGTTATTCGGACATTGTTCGACCAACTGCCCACAGGAGTGCACGAAGAAAAAAAATCTTTAAAATTCACTCCATCCTGCTGAAAAGCTAAACAGAACAGGTGAGCGCTAACTCGGCAGGTAACACAAACGGCAACACCTGAGACCCCACAGTCCCACGCTGCCCAAGGATAATGCAGGGCTTTTACGGCTGTAAAACATTTCCAACGAGGAACGGGCGGTAAAAACAATCTTGTAAGAGTCATGGGGACGCGTTATGTCAACGCCAGGGTAACTCTGGGAAGGCTGGACTCCAGGGGCGCACTGCCCACTGCCCACAGGCGGCCGCCGACCCCGGGCAGCACGTCCCCGCCGGGCGGGCTGGGTGCAGCTCCTCCGCCCGCCGCCGGCCGCCCACCCGCCGCCCCCTGCCGCCCCCTGCGCCGCCCCAGTCTGCACCTTTCCGCTTCTGCTTCATCTCGCGCCGTGGTCGCAGCAGCCACCGACTCCGGCCACGGCCAAAGCGAGCAGCCGCAAAGCACCCCGCGGCCTGTCGTACGAGCACGGCCTCGGGCCGTAAAGCGCTCCTCGCGGACAAGCACGAAGCCCCGCCCCGAGGCTCGGAGCCGGCCGGCTGGGCGGGGCCAGGAGCTTAGGTTGACGGGTGTCCGTCCACGCGGCGTGCGCTGGGGTGTTCCAAGACTGGTCCTGGCAGTTCAGGCATGGGGCGAAGCTTGGGAACTGACGCTGTGGCAGGAAGCCCGAGTTGGGCGGGTGGGCTCTGTCCAGGTGCGTCACTTCCGGGGAAAGTGTTGGGGGCAGTGACACCTGTTAATGGTGGCGAGGATGGAAGCGAAAAGCAGAGCCTGGCAGCTACAAATCGCAATCATCCATTGAGTCCTGGAGTCCTGGAGGCCACGTCAGACTCAGGGGACTGACACTTGTCATTGTTAACCGTCGTGGCAGGAGTGTCTGCCCGACAAAACACATGCAAAAGGAATAAATAGTTCTCAGCATCCAGAGGAAGTCATTCATGAAGTTCTGACAAAAATAAAGCGAGGTTTTTAACGCATGCTTGCCAGATACAAGTGATTGCCAAAGACATCAGGCACCACAACATTGACTGCCTGACTGCGTAGGGCAAGCACCTCTCTGAGAGCTTCCGCCCCGCTGCTGTGTTTAGCCTCGAACTCACGTCATTCTGGTTATGAGTCGTTGTGACTGTGGGTTATTTTTCAGAGTATCCACTGTAGTCCTCATGTTTGCAAACATAGCCTCCCCTCACTGAGGGACTCCTGGATTGACTGGGGCATGCATAGTCCCATTGTACCGCTCTGCCCTTCCCCCCCAGCTGTCCTTATTCTTTGGAGAATCCCTCTCTGATTGTTATTCAGACTGACTCGTGCATGGTGACAATTCTGGATTTTGGATGCAAGACTTAGGTTAACTTCTGAAACCCATCTGTGACCTCCTTTATCCACCAATTAGAGGTGAAGAGCCCCCTCTCAGTGAAGACAGGAACACATGCTGGCTCCATTCCCCCCCCCCCCCACGAGAATTCAGGGGACATGGTGACCTCCCATGTTACCAAATCTGGAGACATTTTATCCTTACTCTCATTCTACCACTTTCCTCAAAAGTTACCTCGTGGAATCCAATCACAAACTGGAGTGGCTCACTGCTAACTGCAATACTTTTCACTTTTGTAACTTCTGCTTTGCCTGCTTGTCTGTGAAACTGTGTGAGCCTGCAGGCTGACCCACTTACTTGTTCATTATCAGCTCCAGGAACCAAAGTTCAAGTGTGGTTATCTCACAGGTAGCTCCAAGGCCCGAACCTGGTTGTCTTAATTACCGGGCCCGGGAAGAGCCAGACATAGGCTGTCTAGCCACAACAAGCCATTGTAAACTGCCCCTATAAAAACCCTGTAAATGTGCTGTTCAGGGCCACACTCTTTAAGGGGTGTCGATCCTGGTCAGTTGGTTGTCTTACCTTTCATTGTAATAAAATGTGGTTGTGATTGTCACTGGTGTGTGTAACGTTCTGTGTCAGCAGTTGAGTGGATGCAATATCCTTGCTTAAATATCCTCTGTGATAGCACCCTCCACTCTCTTCCTTGTTCTTTCTTACTCTCTTGTATGCACTCCTTTTTTCCTTTGGACTGTAAATGTGATTCAGGAACTCAGGGATTACTCGGCTCTGTCTTTCCACGGTGATTACTGGAGTCCCACAGCCTTAAACCCCATCTCTGATCCCATGTTTATAGCCCAGGTTTGACAACTTAGATCTGAGTGTGCAATACGCGAACTTAACAAGAACAGAGCTTGAATTTTTTTATTCGAAGTCTACTCTTTGGAAAGGCAGACCAGGTTTATGGAGAGAAAGAAAGATAGAAAGACCCTCCATCCACTGGTTCACTCCCTAAATGGCTGCAATGGCCAGAGCTGAGCTGATCTGAAGCCAGGAGTCAGGAGCTTCTTTCAGGTCTCCCATATAGGTGTATTGTTCCAAGGGTTTGGGCCATCCTCTGCTGCTTTCCCAGCCACAAGCAGGGGAAATATGGGAAAATGAAACAGCCAGGACACAAACTAGGACCTATATGAGATCGTGGTGCTTGCAAAGTGAGGGTTTGTCATTGAGATATTGTGCTGCCCAGTCTCTCATAACTATTAAATCAAAATGTCGAGAGGTGGGAGTTGGACATGAGTGATTCCAATATACAGCAAAGTTTGGGACCCACTGAACAGGGGTCAGAGGTACTGTGAGTCAGATCAAGTCATAAGCCAGACAGTTGGTGAAAAGTATTTATATTCTGGGCACATTTTAAAGATTTGGACAGTATTCCCAACAAAAGAGATGTAGGATATAATATTAAGGCAGATATCAATATTAAGGATGGCATCATACCAGGAGTGAGGAATATCCAGCTATATAAGACCCATGAAATCATTAGGCCTGGCCTCTGCAAGGCAACAGTAGCCGGACTCATATTTCAATAAAGCTGTAACAAGCTGATTTTTAAGTAAATAATTTCAGGCGGCTTACAAATGGTGTTCTAAATATTCAAATAACCCATAGTAGGCAAAAAGTTTCCTACAACCACAGGAATGGAATGATGTGATTGCCAGTCACTAAGCTGGAAAAGACAGTGGTTGGGGCATTTTTTTTTTTTTTAGATTCATTGTATTTGTTTGTTTGAAAGGCAGAGCAAGATCTCTGTTGGTTTACTCCCTCAATGGCTACAATAGCCACAGCTGACCTGATCTGAAGCCAGGAGTTAGAAGCCTCACACAGACACAGACACAGGAGCCCAAGGCCCCGAATGATCCTCGGATGCTTTCCCAGGCCATAAGCAGAGAGCTGAATCAAAAATGGAGCAGCCAGGAAACGAACTGGCACCTACCTGGGATGCTGGTAGAGGATCAACCCACTACACTATTGTACCAGCCCCAGAGTGGGGTTTTGAGGAGATTCAGGAGTGGGAGTGGGGTGAGTTTTGTCTCTAAATTTGGGGTCCCTAGGGAGCAAAAACTATGAAAAAGATGAGAGCAGGAGATAGCAGTCAGGAGTTACAGGCATATAGTAAACTGTGATGTGGAAAGGAAAGAAAGCAAAGACAGATTTGGAGTCTTTCATTATTAACAAGTAGAGGAAGAAGAATAACCAGCAAAGCAGCCTGAGGAGGCACCTCCAGGGAGACAAGGAGTGCACTGTAACCTAGAGGCCAAGTGAGGAATGTGTGTCAAGGAGACTGGAAGAATATGCCGAGTCCAGTGAGCCTTGGGGACTTCCACAGGAACAGTTCTGGTAGACTGGCGAAGGCGAGGGCTTGGCTGGAGTCAGCATGAGAAGGGAGGAATTTCGTTAGCATCAATTTAAACAGTCTTTTGGAGGGGTTTTGTCCTAAGGAAATGCAGAGGTGGCAGACATTTCATATGGTACTTAAGACACCAATTGAGACCCGTATCAGAATGCCTGGTTTCATTGCCTGACTCAGCTCCTGAGTGTGTCATCCTGCCAGCTCAGTCCATGGAGGCAGCAGTGAGAGCCCAAATAGAAGGCCCCTGCGGCCTGTGTGGGAGACCTGGATTAAGTCTCTAGCTCCCACCTTTGGTTCCAGCCCACTCCAGCTTGTGGTTGGTATTTGAGGAGTTGAGGAGTGAATCAGTGAATGGGAGCTAGTGTTTCCCACCCCGCACCCCCTTCTTAATAAAATGGCAATGAGTGGCAAGTTTGTGTGACAATGGGAATAATCCAGAGTAAATGAAAGCTTGATGAATTAAGGGGTGGAAGTGGTCTACTTAATTCTTCAGCTGTAGAGAGGAGTGGAAACTGATGCACAAAAGATAGCTTTAAAAAAAACATGCTTTAATTACTTTCATTTTATTTAAAAAGCATAGGTGGATCTTTTTATTGAAAAGGTAAGTGGCTCTTCTGTCTACTGGTTCACTCCCCCAAATGCCTACAATGGCCAGGCTAACAGCAGGAGCCCAGAACTCAATCCCTGTCTCCATATGGGGGGCAGATGCCCAAGCACTTTAGCATCTTTCTCCCAAGAGGCACAACAACAAGAAGCTAGAACTGGAAGTGGAGCTGGAATCGATCCCAGACACTCTGATCCCAAGCAATGCCCCAACAGCTTCCCCAAGCACCTGCCCCAGTGGTAAGATTTGGAGGGGTATGTGCAGAGCATGCGATGGGTAGTAGGGTGTGATGGTGGTGCTACACAGAAATTTTCTCCCAGTTGCTTCAGTATTTTCAATGAGTTCCAAGAAAACTCAGCCTGATGCAGTGGCCAAATATCTGACAGTTCTGGCATGTAGGAGTTCCACAGAGGTGCCAAGGACTACTGTAAAGAACCCTGGCAGTTTTTAAAATGCTCAGAAATAATTTTAGCTGTTCAGTAATTTAGTAGCATTTCTGAGGAAGAATTTTAGATAACCACCGAAGCAAAGAAATCACCAGCAGAGGGAGAACTAAGCACAGTGACAGGCAATAGTATTGGCCGAAGAGATTGTATGAACAGGCCTTTTTTTGGCAAGTTGGTTTCAATTCCAGTGTATAAGGTATGGTGTGTTCACTGTGGCTGGAAGACCTGGAGATCCCAACTGGGCCCGAACATCTATGCCAAGACAGAGAAACCATCTCCTTTGTGGAATCTTGGAACTACAGCAGAAAACATTTGTTTTGTTTTGTTTTGTTTTGTTTTTCTCCCTACTTAATGACATCTGGTAAGTTGTTTCTCTTACGTAATTTAGACAGTAACATGTGGTTATTGTTGTTTTAAATAACACTACATTTTTAAAAAGATTTATTTATTTTTCTTGGAAAGTCAGATATACAGAGAGGAGGAGAGACAGAGAGGAAGATCTTCTGTCCACTGATTCACTCCCAAGTGGCTGCAGCAGCTGCTGGAGCTGAGCCAATCCAAAGCCAGAGCCCAGAGTCTCTTTCAGGTCTCCCATGGGGTGCGGGATCCCAAGGCTTTGGGCTGTCCTCGAATGCTTTCCCAGTCCACAAGCAGGGAGCTGGA